AGGATCCAAATCCATCTTCCTAGTGCTTTATGTTGATGATATTCTTCTTGCTAGTTCATGTCCACAATTGCTTCAAAGTACTAAAAGAATGCTAAGTGATAATTTTGAGATGAAGGACCTCGATGAAGCACATTATGTATTGGGAATAGAGATTGTTCAAGATATGCAGAAGAGGCTTCTTGGTTTATCTCAAAAAGGTTATATTGATAGAATATTAGTAAGGTTTAATATGGAAAGCTGCAATAATGGTCAAGTTCGAGTTAATAAAGGAGATAAGTTCTTGAAAAATTAATGTCCAAAAACTGATTTAGAAATGAAGAAAATGCAATCTAAACCTTATGCTTCATTGGTTGGAAGCCTCATGTATGCAACTATATGTACAAGACCAGATATTGCCTTTATTGTTGGCATGCTAGGCAAGTTTCAAGCAAATCCAAGTGAAGCGCACTGGGTGGCAGCTAAGAAAGTTCTACGATACTTGTAGAGAACCAAAAGTTATATGTTGGTATATGGTAGAAGCAATTCTTTGGAACTTAAAAGATACACTGACTCGGATTTGGTTGGAGATATAGATGATAAAAAGTCAACGGGAGGATATATCTTAATGCTCAATGGAGGGGTAGTTTCATGGAAAAGTACAAAACAAACTGTCATAGCTACATTTACTATGGAGGCTGAATTTGTAGCTTGTTTTGAAGATATGAAATAGGCAGCTTGGTTGAAGAATTTCTTAACTAACTTAAGATTGTGAATTCAATTCAGAAGCCTATGAAGATGTTTTGTAACAACAACTCAACTATATTCTTTGCCAAGAATAATAGAAGAACTTCAACATCAAGGTTAATGGATGTGAAGTTTCTTAAAGTCAGAGAACAAGTCAAGAAAGGGGTGATTGAAGTGCAGCATATTAGTACTACTATGATGCTTACAGATCCCTTAACTAAAGAATTGCCTGTAGGAGAGTTTAAGCAACATGTTTCTCGGATGGGAGTATTGGAAAGTTTTGATCAGTGGGAGTAGTCAATTATCTTCTCAAGATTTGGATTGCAATTGTGATAAGTTCCAGAATAATGAATGCAATCCTAAAGCAGCTGAGGTTAATTTATTTAGTTATAGCTAGTTTGTTAGTCTATTTTGATTTTCAATAAGTGCCTTAGTTTCGAGGCTCAATACTTCAGCTTTGGAGTATTGTAGTTTTGAATGATGGATATTGTTTTAAGTTAGATTCATTTGATGTTCCGAAAAACAGTTTGTCTATTTTTTAAGCTCATGATTAATGAATTGTTCTTTTATCTAGTAATTGATATGTTGCTCTTGGTTGTGATTAATATGTTTTGATCTCTTGAAAAGTGGGAGCATATGTTTTGAGTCATGAGTTATATTTGCGGATTGGATATATGTGGACTTGGAATCAATACTGCATTTTGTTTGTAGTTCATGGTTCTTGGTCTCTGTATTTTGAAATACAATGTAATAATGATCATGATAGTGAAGTCTTGAATAAGGCTATGTAATCACTTCTTATAATTGGTGAAAGTCGTGCTTGATCTTTGTCTCATGCTTAAGTAGGAGAATGTAAGAATATGAACATGAGATTAGGTGATCTAGCATTAGCTATTTGATATAAGAAAGCCTTATGGGAAGATGTATATTAGTTCTTGTCAACAGATTCTGTTGCAGTAATGAACTGATATGGATTGGGAAAACATAAGTTGTTTTCAGTAAGGATTCTAATAGGGAGTCCTCATTCTGTTATGAGATATGTATATATAGCGACCTCTCGTCTCACAGGATCACGCTCTTTTGGAATTAAGTCCTATTCTTAGTTTGAGCAATAAGCGTCCTAACAGAGAGAAGAAGAGCTTATGTGCATTCAGGTTAATCGTGAATAACCATGGCTGCATCCAATGGAAGTTCTTTAGGTTAGTATGCTTCAACCTTACATGGATTAGTGTTCTGTATTTTGTTTGGTTGTAATTCGAGTAACTAAATCTTGTTTGTGGTTTAGAGTTAACATGCCTAACAGAAAGACTCAGAATGATCATTGTGCGTGTACTTTCGGACAAGGCCGGGAGAAAATGTGCGCAACAAGAAGAGGGTAGCAGAATAGTGGAACTCATATGTAATCACGAGTGGGAGGAGGATTGAATTTAAAATCAAATTTTATGTTGTGTAGATAGAATGTGGGTGAACTCAAACAAGAGTGTCAACTCGTTGTTGATGGACAAGGGGTTTAGTTTTGAGCTCCCATTAGATAAAAGCAAAAATGGGAAGAAAAGAAAAATGAAACCTTGGTCTGGCCAATGTGAGGATGCTGTTCAACTTCAAGCATGTCAAAAACACCCCAACTGCCAACCGCTTCAGCTTCGGTTTCTTTGCGGCGATTCCCTACTTTTTCACATTCCTCGAAATGAAAATTTTTGTGAGATTCAATAACTATAAGAATGGTCAACTGGGAGTGTGGTTTGGATGTTAAATCTACAGAATAAAATTCCTTACCTCAAGAATGATGGTGATTTTTTACCACTTGTAAACCAAAGGGTTAAACCATAGAAAATTCTTGCAAGAGAACAAGTGTTATAGTATAGAATGGCTCAAGCAAGGTCGATCTCCTCAGGGACTGGTATAAACAATTTATGAGCTTTTGTGTATTTAACTTAGTTAACTCTAAGAACTACACTAATTCAACAAAACTAAATACTATTGTACGTGACTTAAACAAACATTTAAAAAGGGAAATGGCTTATAGAAATAATGATTCAACTAAACAAAACAAGTAAATGAGGAAATTCAAGATAAAATAAATGATTGAAGAAAAATAAATTGACAATATGCTAGAGTTCAACCTTTACCAACAACACTCCTACGTAGCTCTTCCAATTGCTTAAGTAATAAAAAACATATATGCTTTGAAGGTTGGGTTTTCCTTGTGTATGTTTTACTTGTGACATTCAAGTTAAAACGCATACCACTACATGCAATTTATCCATGACATTTGGATTAAATATAAACATGAATGAATCATTAATCTTGATGAAATCATTTTGTTAAACCATGTAATCCCTAAGAGTATGATATTTACCTTAGGAGAAATTATAATCCTCAATCACAAGAAGCATAACCAATTTTAACGTGACATTCGTTCAAAATTGCATCCAATGACTTTTCTAAGCATCCTAATGGTGATCAATCATCAAGACGTATAGATAGTTTAATTTAGAGATTGAAAATATCAAAGCAAGCATGTAACAACACTTAAGCAATTGAAAGAGAAATCTACGTAATCATGTTACGGCTCATGGCCTCACTCTAGCAAAAAGAAATTAGTTATACATAATTATTTTAATACATAAGAAATTATCCATGAAAAAACAAAGAAAGAAGACACCCTTTTTTACAAGACGAGCTCTTCGTTCCTTTGCTCTCCTCTGCTCCTGACTTCCTCCCCTCTGCCTTTCCATTTCTCTTCACTTCTTTTTCTCTGCCTTTTATTGCCTTCAACAAAAGGCAATCATTGCCAAAACCAACCAAAGCTACAAGTGGAAGACCAACCAAACTCCACTTCATAGTGGGTACCCCATGATCTCCTCTTTTCTACCATCTTTTCTTTCCCACTTCCGTGTGTGCTCCTCCTCTTTTGCTCTCTCTTTTCCTGCTTTTCTGCTACTCCATTCACTCTTTGCCGTGTCCTCTCTGTCTTCCCCACCTCCACTTCCGTGTGTTTTCCTTGCCTTTAACCAAAAGACAGCTCTTTTCCAAGTCACTAAGGCCACAAGTGGAAGACAAGCCTCACTTCCAATTCTTTTGTTTGTTTTTATTATTTCCTTTTCTCCTTTTTGCTTGAAATTGATCCTAAAGCAAATTTAACTGCACACTAACACAAGGTAAGGTAAAATGCAACCATTTTAACACAAAAACATCACAAAGACTTTAGAAACGGATGATATAAATGCATGAAATATATGAGTGATCAAGAAACCAAAGAATCATGCTTGCAAAATCAATGAAACCGATATCACGATCCGAAAACTTCCTGAGGTAGTGTCTGCAATTGGTACACCACACATTTTCTTCTCGTACAACAAATGAATTGCATCTCTTACACTTTCCCCAGTTTTCAATTCCAAAACTTTGCACTCATGTAGAAATACAAAACATTTTGTTTTGATTAAACGAGATAAAGCTAAAAAAATCTTAAAATGATAAAAGTCAGGGTTAGGTCAGTTTGCCAACTTCATTGCCGTTGCACCCAAGTTCAAATCTAGTAGATCTTTTTTTTTTTTTTTTTTTTTTTTTTTTTTTAATTTTGTATGAGGCCACTAGTGCAATCCATCACTTGTCCTATAGATTATAGTAGTTTGAGAATATATTCTTATAAAAAGTAAATTAAAAGGAAAATTGTCACTTTCAAAATGGGATTTCAAAGAAGACCAAAACTAATAAAGTATAAAAAAATAAATCAAAAACATAAAGAATGGAACATTATATAATTGATGCTTAATACCAGGCGAGTTTTTTATGGCAGGTATAGAACTGAAGGGGATGTGAATAAGAAAGAGTTGTAGGGCAGAGAGCCCGAATCAATTTCTTGGTTGTTTACTTGAGGTTGGAGACGAGGCTCTCTTTCTTCTGCGCCACTCCACTTTCTGATTTTTTTTTTTTTTTTCCATTACATTCCTTTATATGATGCATCTTCTTAATTTCTTTGGCTGGTTTAACTGGAACTTTCAAATTTAAGTTTAAGTTTATGAGCTACATCTGTTCAGTTCCTCCTCCAGCACCAAATGACTCTTCACTCTCAGTTTCATGCTTAGATTAGTGTAGATATCCAAATAGATTTACTGAGTAAGAAGTTGATCCCTACCCACTCTGGGCCTGGTGGTTTTGCGAACCTCGCATTACGCACTAGGTCCACGGTTGGACAGGCTTACTGAGCAGACTAGTAGCAAAGCAGTTGGAAACGTACATCCGCCTGAAAGAATACGCTTGTAGACAGATGGTTTCTGAGACAAAATGATTTTCGTTATGCAACATACAACCATATTTCAAACTCACTGCTCCATGAAGGATGAAAGCAGCCGGCGGTCAGCTTTCTGTAACTTATACATCTCGCGACTCTCTAACGCTTTAAGCTTATAAAATCCAAACTCATGAGTTCTGAAGGATTTTCTGGTTTGAATACAGTAACCAAGGTGGAACTTGGCTATTGAAAAGACAAAATGCTGCAGAAGCTATTCACTCATCTGCCAAATGCGCACTGCGACTGCAAGAGTCTTTTCTCGTTACCATTTCTCAACTGGCCTTGGAAAGTAGTTGAGACGTTTAAGACCATTATATAACCATGCCGTCTCGTATTGTTGCCTTCTCCAGAATAACTGTGATTCCCTCGCGAATGTAAAATCCGTCTTCTGGCCTATCTGCTTCTTGAACACCCTACAGGACCAGAGAATTTAGATGGACCGTAAGATTGCATGCGAAAGTATATATTTGCTCTAATGAAAACTTTCTCCGGTAAAATTTTGGTTAAGAGGTAGAAGGAAAAGATAAATGTAGCCTAGAAATAAGACTAGATCACGGGAAGCCATGCTTACATCCTTGTTCACGATCATTACGTCCTTCCCTATACTCGCATTCTTATCAATTATACAATTCCTTCAAGGAAGAATCATAAGACATAATTAGAGAACTCGGCATTCTGTATTTCAATTAAAGCAAAGGACCGTTTCTCGAATTATGAGTCTAGTTACCAAATCTTTGTATTGCTTCCAATACCAATTGGGACCTTCCCGTCTACAAGCAGCAATGCGATTTCAGATTCAGTTTGGTAATAGTCGGCACCCATCATTATGGAATCCTGCAATGAGAGAACAACTTAATAAACTAAGTCATCTGAGAAAAGGTAAACAAAAGGTAAACAAATAACAAAATGGCCACATCGTCAAATTTTCTGTTCCAAATCTATGATAACTAACCTTGATTTCGACACCATAATTCAATCGTGAACGTTCACCCACAATTGAATGCTGGACACTACAATCTTGCAAGAAACATCCATGTGAGATTATTGCATCTGCAATCTGCAAAAAACAACAAATGCATGAGAAGAGAGATACCTCAGTTAAGTTACCAATAAGAGTCTAAGTCTGTAACATACCCGGCAGTTATCAATCTTTGTTGGTGGTAAGAATCCAGGAGAGGTGAAGATTGGTGTCTTTGGATCATAAAACTCAAATTTCGGAATCTGAAAAATAGATAACGCAATTTTCCCAGGTGTTAATCACGTATCAGGGATAGAAAATGCTTTTGCTGTTTGCTTCGCATTAAGATTAAGATATTACGTAAGAACTCTACATCGTTGTAGAGATTTGTATCTTCTCTGTGTTCAAACGTTATGATGTGCAATATCAGGGTGCCCGGGACAAAAAGGAAAGGCATGTATGCAATTACTATACAAACTTAATGAACTCGAGGAATGGGAACTGAAGGGGAAAGGAATAAAAAAAAGTTGCCCCTATGGAAACAATGACTCTACCTCTTCGGTAAGGGCCAAGTTAGCATCATAGAAAGACTTTATAGTTCCAATGTCCTCCCAGTAGTCTCTGAACATATATGCCTGTAAATGAGAAAGGTAATTTACAGTAACGTTATCTTCAAAACTCAATGTCTGAGTATAAACAGATCAATAGGTACGTAGAAAACATGAAAATCATGAATTGTTGATACAAAAGGCACAAAATTTATGGTCTTTCAGTTGAGGCTTCACTCTGCTGTTTCATTAAATCCTAAAATCAGGGTAGTCAAGCCTTGATGGAGATGGAGAAACTTGTCTGCATTCTCATAGATGACACGTCAACTATAATTGTTATGTTACCTGGACATTGTGGTCTCTCACTGCCGCAGGAATGATTTCAGATCCAAAGTCATTGGATGTCGGATACCTCCACCTCAGAAGATTTAGCAAAACTTCTGTCTTAAATACATAAACTCCCATTGATGCAACATAGGGGCTTTTCCTGGCATCTTGTGGTGACAATCCCAGAATCTTGGTATCTGCTTGCTGCAGAATATCAACCAAGAAGGGTAAAACTGACGTCAAATAAATTTTCACATAAATTAAATTATGTACATCCGAGTACAAGGTAAATGTTCAAACACAAATAAAATACATACCATATCAGCATTTCATGGTCTTATTCTCGTCTATATTTTAACTTTACTTCCAAATAAACTTAATGCCTTTAATGGATGAGATGGAGCGTGTGTGTGTGTGTGTGAGTGAGAGAGAGAGAAGAAATCTGATATCATATTGTAATTGATTTTGTGGTATCATTTCGGAGGTCATTCTGATGTCCATGATTTGACTTACAAACGGCTTAAATGGAACGAGTAGTAACTAGGCTTTGTAAGCATAAAGATTGAGTGTCAATGGATAGTGTAAAAAAGACTTAACAATGAAAAGCATCATCCAACCATTCCTTCCTCCCAATGCTACTATAATGAGCAATACGATAACAGGATGCTAAAGTTATTTTCAAAGAGGGTGGAAAGCAATTCAAGTGCAAAGGACCTCACTGAAAGCGAGAAAATAATCTGATAAAATAAATCTGCTGGTTCTTGCTCACCATTGCTTTTAGATCAGCTCCCCTTGGTTTTTCAGCAAACTGGATGATTTTACCTCTGCTGTCTATCTTCACCAATCCATAATCAGACGCACGACTGGAAAACATGTATTCAACTTTAGACAAATTTAAGAGCGATACTAAAAAGATAATAAGAATGAGGATTTGGGGTTGGGGTTGGGGACTTATTATATATTTGATATTATCTTTCTTCTTTGCCTCCTAAGTATCCTTAAGTAACATAGCGTGTATAAGGAAACTGCTACAACGATTGATGTTCCGATAGTCTTCAATGTGTAATTGTTAGAATAAATACAAGCAAGGTTGGCCCATGAGAGCAACAGCTTAAACCTTTGTAAAAAGTTGTGAACAACGAAAAAAAGTTTACACGATACAATCAAATCCAAACTTTTGTAACTAGTTGTAAACAAAGAATAAAGTTACACATATGGGATCTCTAGTGTTGGAAAAGACCATACGTGAGAGTTATGTTAGAATATCAAACAATAGTCGACTCACAAGCCAACAGCTTATGCATTTGAGATTGAGGTAAACCAACAAACATTATCAACAACCCACAGAAAACCATTAAAACATTTACAAAAAGGAGAAAAAAAAACAGACCTGTCACCCACTGCTGCACACGAAATTGTAATATCGGCATTTCTATCAACATGACTCTGCATATCATGGAAAATGCGTAAGAAAAATTCAAAAACAATAACAAGTCCATTGTGAAGGGAAATGATTATACCTGCACAAAGTCCATATAATCCATTCGATAAAGATGATCGCCAGACAAAATCACTACATTCTCAACATTCCTGTTCTTGGCATCCTACAAAAGAAACAATGCAATGCATCGTACCTGAGATCAAGCTATGTGCAAAACCAAAAGAACAACAGACAGACCAATTACTGCTATCGCTTCACCCCCTTCTTTAATTTTTAAACAAAACCATTGTTGGAAAATAGCTTGCCCACCTCAAAAACCCATATAAATTGCCTCACAGCATCTGCTGTTCCTTGGAACCAATTCATTCCTGCTTCCCCTTGCGTTTGAGTGGCTGCCAGCACCTGCTCTTGAAGCCACCAAATAATCAATGAACTTGAAACAGAAAATTTGAGAAGTGCACATTCTACTGAATGTACTTTTTTTTACAACTTTATCCACTGAAACAAAAAATCCATTGTTCTTTCCTTTTTATATAATGAGAACCGCTTCATTAACCAGAAAACAACAAGAAACTTCCCTAACAGACTAATTTGTCAATTTGAGAGTTGATTTTTTGCAATATGTTTATATAATCATCAGCCTACAACGAAATTTACTGTCATATTATTTAGTTTTCAATCACGAATGCCTTCAAGGATTCAATACCTCTACAAATCCATCCCCAAAGTTGATACCGTTTCCAAAATAGGTGCGAGCAATGTGGCGATTGAGAGAAGCAGAATTAAACTGCGTCAGTACGAAAATCTTATTTATATTGCTGTTGATGCAGTTGCTCATTGGAATGTCTATAAGCCGGTAGCATCCTCCAACTGGGACCTGCAATTGTGCCAAATCAACACATAATAAAACATCAAAATCAATATAAATTCACAAACATGAACAAATCATGAGCATGTACGGTCACCAATATTAAGAATCATAAAACCAAAGTTGTCTGCATAAATCAGAAAAATTCCAATATATACATAAACATATTTGATCTTACCGCGGGTATCGCTGATCTTATGGTAAGAGGAAAGAGCTGAGTCCCTGCACCTCCTCCTAATATAATCGAAGCTACATTTTTTGGGTCCACCCTCCGCCTAGGTAACGATGGCATTTGCAGAGCCTGAGACTGAAGCCAAGATTAAGAAAACATTTTTCATAATTCATCATACACATAAACGAAGTAACAAATACTAACATACACAAATGGCAGTGATCGATCATACAAATTATATTCATCTCGAAAATTATCAAATGGGCAATCGAATGTAAGAAAGGATTAACTTACGACAGCCTCGGTGTCTTTTGAGGTAAGAACAGCAAGAACAGCTCCAGGTTTCACCTTCCTCTTGCCAGTTCTCAACTGATTAGCCCAAAGCCTGTTATTAAAACTCCCTCTAACCCTCTCCCCCAAAAACCCAGAATCACCATTGCAGAAACCACTTGGTTTTCTCAAATGGGTGTTTTTCAAAGCCACACAGCAAGAATCCATTCCTGTTGCCTGCGAACTCTAATAGAATTCTAACCGATCAGAAATTGTAAACTCAGACAGCAGTTAAACCAAAATCCCAGTAAAACCCAAATCTCGGTAAAGTAAGAGATGTGATCTGATCACTAAGTAACCAAGTAACGTATAGATCACACAAAGATTATTAATATTAAGTGGCAATCAGAGACATAATCAAACTCATTTATAGCATGTTTAATATCAAACCGAACACGCCAAAACAGAATTTCTGAATGAAAATGGTGGATATAAACCAGACGACAGATACTCCTAAAAAGTAGAATCTCAAGTAATCACACAAGTCCAAGAACCAAACATTTTCACAGTAAAAATGGAAAACCAAAACAGAATCCGAGTTTAACAGTGAATACAGGTGTCATTGTAAGCTGTATAATCTGCAGAAATTTAGGGAGAAAAGTGATCCGGACAGTTGAGAGAAATGAGTGAAATACATGAATGATGTTTAAAGAAAGTTATTAGCTTTATTTTTATTTGTTTTTTATTTAACGAACTATATTATTTACGTTAAAAAGGGATGGGTCAACTTTCGGCTAGTAACAATATGGTTTAAATTCATTTTTAACAAGAATCGAATCTAAAACCTCTATTGACTTGGAACCCTTCACGACAAACTTTAAAAACTTCTAATTGTAGTTACACCTTAATGTTATTTAAATTAAGTTACAAATATAAATAAATAAATTGATACTAAAACCTTTTGAGATAATTATAATTTTGCTCCCAGAACTATGGTGGTTGTTTCATTTTGGTCCGCAAATGGTCACCTAACCTTTAAAATTAGAAAAACTAATGAAAATGACTTGAAAACTTTGAATTTTAACGATAAGGATAACATAAAGGGTAAAGTAAATAGTACCATGATTGACTTTTTAGTGTAAAAATGTGGTTTTTTGTTAAAATGAACAATACCGGGAGCTTTTCATTAAAATTTCCTTTAAAAATATGGGAAATTTCATGAAAATGGATTAGGCTAAGTTTATTTTAACAAAAAACCATGCTATAACTTTATTTAAAGAAAAATAAATAAATTTTAATGAAAACCCCTTAAATTTTAATAAAAAGGACAAAAAAATCTTAAAGTTTAATGAAAATGACACAATTAAAAAAATGTGATGCTTGGGACCTGTACACTATTTATGAAACTGAACACTATTTATGAAGTTGAACAGTACTATACTATTTATTGGTCCAATATCATAAATAGTGCCAGTTTTTTTGTTGACTTTCATAAATAGTGTCTAGTTCTTAGTCATGTTTTATAAATAGTGCCTAGTTATTAGGTCCAATTTTATAAATAATGTATAGTAATTTGTATAGTTTCATTAATAGTGTCTCTTTCTTGGTCCAATTTCATAAATAATGTCTAGTTATTAGTCCACTTTCATAAATAGTGTCTAATTCTTAGTCATGTTTCATAAATATTGTTTAGTTCTTACTCCAGTTTCATAAATAGTGTATAGTCTAGTTTCATAAATAGTTTCCACCTATTTTAGTTTTGAAAATAATGCATAATTCTTGTTTTTGTTTCATAAATAGTGTCTACTTATTGGTCTTGTTTCATAAATAGTGCCTACTTATTGGTCTAGTTTCATGAATAGTATCTACTTATTAATGAAGTTTTATAAATAGTGTCTAATTCTGGGTTCAGTTTCGTAAGGTTTAAAACTTAGACCCTTTTTGGTCTTGTAAAAGCACCAATTGCGCCAAAAACGATGAACCCATAAGTGACTCTTTAGATCAAAACCTTGAGAAAATTAAGTTCTCAGTAATTATATTTAAAAAGCTATTTTGAATTACTAAATTAAAATTTCCTCACATTTTTTACATACCTACAATAATTAATGTAGCTCTCCATCCAATTTCTTGAGCTTGTGTGTCATCTTGGAGAAAATCTGTTAATGTAGCTGATAATGGGAGAAAAAGGTGAGAAAAAAAAAGGAGTGTGGAAGGGAAGGGGGGGTATGCGCCCCAGCCCAAGTTGGGTTTTTTAGGGTTTTTTTAATATTTTAATTATTTTTTTATCCTTATCATTAAATAAAGTTAGTGAGTGGTTTTTTATTAAAATGTAAAGATTTGATGACTTTTTCATTAATTTTTCTTAAAAATATATTAAGTGATTATAATAGTGACGTCAAAGCTGATAGAAATATTGACATGCGCATTTCATTAGAACTTTTCACAGCGACACTAAACTATCAAGGCTTTTGCCAACTATAGAAGGAGATGAGAGAGATATAGAATGTTATAAGTTGTGATTTTTTTTTTATTTAACAAATAGCGATAGTAATTTTTATTGACAAATAAGAACACAATTACAAACCCACAATAACATAATTATAAGGGGTGTCGTATGAGTACATTCTTCAGTGACTAAAAAATATTGGTTTGGAGATAATTCATACAAATAAGCTTAAAAGTAAAACTCTTAACTACTACCACAAGCACCTCTGTAACAGCACAAGCACCCGGTACAAATCTTCCACATAGACGGCTGACGCAGTAAACTATATTGCAGCACACACAATGTCATCGCTGATAAGTGAGACCACAAAAACCATCCCTGACATGCGACATTGCATCACTCGCTAGGCGAGACATCACCAACAACTAGACGTGGTAACTATGAAACAAACACTATTCTGAGAAACGGAGTCCACCGTCAGCTCATCTCCACTGATTGGGTCGTTTCTATTTGAGACGATACTACATTTGTGAAATCTGCTGCTACCACAAGAGAAGCAAGGCGGAGCCATCACAGATCTGGCCAGGTAAGGGCAGCACCACCGTGAAATCAATATGGTGAACAATAACACCATTAGAATTAGTTGTGGGAGGTGGATCCGTGCCACCAACAACCAATAAACCAACCCCAAACCATATATCTTGCCTTAAATCAAGAGAAAACACTTTGGATGTGGCATATCTCGACATTAGGGTGAAAGTTTCATGGAAGCCATGGAGCCCTGGTTGCCCACAAAATGGTGGGGTAAAGGAACTGATGGTTATACTACTGAAGGGATAGAAATGAAAAATTAAGAAGGAAAGGTCACCTGAGGAAGCTAGTCAGAGGAAAGGGTGGGAGGTGGAGTGTCCAAAAGGGAGCTACGAGGGGTTAGGGGAGGATGGAGAGGCTAGGAGGAGAGTGAGGAGAGGTTGCCGCGCCAACTTCAAGTCGGAACTGATAATAGTTCACAGAGAACCGAAGAAAAGCAGAAAACTTAAGAAAGAAAGAAAATTGCAGAGAGAGAAGAGATATGGATTTCTGTATATTGCTCGAATGAATATTACAAGGTTCTTACACACTTATATATCTCAATGGCTGCCTTATCTCTTAAGCTACTAGTACTAACAGTTCTAACTAATTTTCCCACCGATTATAACTAACTTCCAAATATACCAATTGCCTTACTTAAGAGTTTGCCATATGAGCACCATTTTACCTTTTTGACCATACTACCCTTCTTATCAATCGAAACTGGTCAATATTCCCCTCAATCGTAACTTGGGTTACCAAATTTAAGATTGTAACAGTGCTTCACAAAGGAGGAACCATGTAACCCTTTGGTCAATATATTTGCATATTGGTCTTCAGTGGGAATGTAGGAAACTTCCAAATCACCTTGCTGCACTTTTTTCCGAACAAAGTGGTAATCCCTATCCAAGTGTTTAATTCTAGAGTGAAACACTGGATTTGCACTCAATGCAATCGCAGACATGTTATCACAATGTATAACTGGTGGTGTTGGTAGAAATACCTCCAAGTCTTTCAAAACTGCCCTTATCCAAGTTAAATCAGCCGCGGTGTGAGCCAAAGCTTTGTATTTAGCTTCAGTAGAGCTAAGAGAAACAAAACTTTGCTTATTTGATTGCCATGATATTGGATTATTACCAAGGAAGACTAGATAACCAGTCACTGATCTTCTAGTATTATGATCAACCACATTCCAAGTATTAATACATCTAACAATGAAGGTAGAGATTACTTGCAGAAGAGATGATTGCAATTGAGTGAATCCGCAGAACTCAGTAGACTCAAACTGCAAAACAGATGGGGAAAAATCAAGCCCATTAACAAAGTGAAGAGAAATTTTATATCTTTAAACGAATTCTAGACAAAATCATGTAAAGGAATTAAATGTTGCGGATTATAAATTAAGAAATTAAAAAAAAAACCATTTAAATTTGTTTACTTGCCGACTTCCCATCTGGTTGTAGAGAATCAAACTGTATGCAGTTCAGATTTACCTATTTTTTATTCTATCTGAAGGCGCCGGCAGGGAGTCCATCTCTGGGTGATGGGTGTCGAATTTCTAGCAACTTTTTCCATCACCTCTTTGTCAGTTTATGTTGAGAGTGGGCTTTTTCGCTGGATACTAATCTTCATCCTCGGTGTGCTTGTCCGATCAATCCGTATCCTTGGGTTCAACTGAGCTTTCTTTCCTTGCCTTGTCTCCGACGAACGCCAAGCAATGCCTCCTGATCGAGTAGTTCTTTAATATGATCCTTCAGCATTCGGCAGCCCCCAGTGCTCTTATGAAAAGAGCATTACTCATTCGAGGTTTTCTTTGCCAGGTCCTCTGGGAGCGTCTTTGGGCGTCAGAGGAATAGTTTGTCCTTTATGTTGTGGAGGATGTTGTTGATAGTGGTGTTCAATGTAGCGTAGTGCTTTGGCTTTGGTGGAATTTGTTTGTCCCGATGTCATCTTCTAGTAGCTTGTCGCGGTGAACGGGGAAGAGTACCCCTGTCACCCCTACTTTTGTCAGCTCACTTAAGGTAGTCTGGTTCGGTTTTCGTCCTTTCACTCTTTTCATCTCGATCAGCCAAATCATCCACTATATCAAAGCATTCCGCCAAAGTATGAATAGTCATAATTCCTTTTGTTCAACTTTTGGAAAAGAGGTGAATGGACGTACATGCCCTGTTTGAGTGCCATGGTAGGGCCAATCTATCAACAGGTTTTTCCACTTCCACCAACTCTACTAAGAAAGTGCTTCAGATATGTCATGAGGCTCTCATCTCTGGAATAAGGAGTCATCCTACACATGGCTTCATGACATTTACAAACATCACGATACACTGAATAGGTGTTCATAAAACAGGGTCGATCTTTATTTTTTTGATGTCCAAGGTGAACGATCAAATGTGCTTTTTTTAATACCGAACATGTTCTAAAAAAATTATTTAGATAGAGCTAGAATCTAGTCGAAGCTTGGGGAGGGGGGCTATAATACTTGAAAAATATGCATACAACAGGGATATAGTACCTAAACCTTGAGGATCAAAAGAAAAATCATATACAACCATTCCAAGAAAAACTCCTAGAAATTTCAACCTTTAAGAAATCGTCTTCTTGCATTTTTTGAAGCATGGCTTCAATAATTTTTTTCTTTTCATATTAGCACAGAGTTGTTTCCTAAACGACATGACTTCA